TGCGTTCATCCCTTGCGTCTGTGTGTCCATCCCACATCCCTGTGTCCATCCCTTATGTCTGTGTGTCCATCCCACATCCCTGTGTCCCTCCCTTATGTCTGTGTGTCCATCCCACATCCCTGTGTCCCTCCCACATCCCTGTGTGTTTATGTCCATCCCATGTATCCATGTGCCCATCTTGCATCCTTGTGTCCATCCCATACCCTTGTGTCCATCCCACATCCCTGTGTCCATCCCATACCCGTGTCCATCCCATGTGTCTGTGTGTCCATCCCACATCCCTGTGTCCGTTCCACATCCATCCCCAGCACATCCGTGTCCCTCCCCACTCAGGGGTCACACGGGTGGGCTCCACTCCCCCCGTCCCCCCTCCCGTAGGTGATTTATCGGGTCCGTTCTCCCTCTCCCGGCGCTTCCAAAGGTCTCGGATCCCTCCGATCCCCGCGATCCATCATCAGCGGCGGATCGGCCGCGGATTTACGGCCGCGCTGCCCGCGATCGATGCGGCCCCGACACCGCCGTGTTTGTGCAACAAATTACGGCGCCGGGGGGGCCAGAGGGGAGGGTCTGGGGGCGTCGATGCCGCCCCGTGTGTCCCCCCCGCCCCGGGGACACGGTGGAGCCCCGACCCCCGCGCGGGCTGAGCTTAATGAGCAGCAACAGCGAATTAATTAAGACGGCGACGAGGGGAAGCCCGGGTGCTAATTAGCAGGGCTGGGAGGTGACGGGGACACGAGAGGACATTGGGGGTCCCCGGGGGTCCTGGCGGGGGAGGCGAGGCTGGGGGGCAGCGGAGGAGGGGGAGGGGTGGGGGGTTCACGACCAAATCCTGCCTAAATCCCCCCCTGGGCTGAGCCTGGAGCTGGTTACACTGGGTTTGGGGGGGGCTCAGTCACGATCAGATCCTGCCTGAATCCCTCTTGGGCTGAGTCTGCAGCTGGTAAAACTAGGCTTGGGGTGCTCAGCCCCACCTTTGGGGTCCTTCATATCCCTGCCTCAGTTTCCCCATCCTGCTGAGCCCAGACAGGGCCCAGGACCCGCCCCGCATCCCCCCCCCCCGATTAAGGACACGGACCCAGGCCCCCCCCCAGGCTGCGGGGGGCTGAGCCGGGGAGGCTGAGCGGGAGGGGGCGGCGGGGCCGGATTTGGCCGCAGCACATGAATAAATTCATGACACCACGTCCCCGTGTCCCCGCCGGCCCCCCTGTCCCCCCCCGCCGTTCTGACACAACCCCACGGTCACCAGCTGCCTCCGCGGCCCCCCAGGACCCCCCGGCTCGGGGGGGGAGCGCGTCCAGTGCCGTCCAGTGCCGCCCAGTACACGGTGCTGAAGCGTCCCCAGTGCCCGGGGGTGTCACCCCGCTGTCCCCGGGGGGGGACGGGTCGAGGGGACCCCCGTGCGAATGGATATGGATGGGATGGGGGCGGCCACGGGGGGGGGCCCGGGGCGGGTCGGGGACAAACGGCCCGAATTGGAGGAAAATTGTCCTTGAGGCCACAATGAACCAGCGGCGGGGACACACACACACCCCCGGGGGTTGGTCCTGGAGCTGTCGCGGGGCTGGGGAGGCGAGTCGCGGGGCTGGGGAGGCGAGTCACGGCGCTGGGGAGTCCCCGCTGCCACCCGCACCCCAGTGTGCCCCCGTAGCCCTCACTTCAGCCCCCTTCCCTGCCCTGGCACCCCCAGCCCTCACCACCCCCCCAACCGTCAATGCCCCCGCCCTGGCACCCCCCCGGGCATCCTCAGCCCTCCACCCCAGCTCATTAGTGACTGCTCTTTATTAGGGCCGGGGGGGGGTCAGGGTGCTGTGCCAGGCCCCCCCCCGGGCAGTGAAGGGCTCGGGGATGGGATGGGATGGGATGGGATGGGATGGGGTGGGATGGGATGGGATGGGATGGGATGGGGTGGAGTGGGATGGGATGGGGTGGGGTGGGATGGGATGGGATGGGATGGGATGGGGTGGGGTGGGGTGGGGTGGGATGGGGTGGGGTGGGGTGGGATGGGATGGGATGGGGTGGGGTGGGGTGGGGTCCCACCCTAGAGCAGCCGCATTGCCCCAGGGCTGAGCGGTGCTGGGGGGAGGTGTCTTATCTGCACCCCAAACTCCCCGTGTGCCCCGCAGGATGGTGCTGAGCCCTCGCCCCACAGCGGTGCTGGCGGGTCTCATCCACACCCCGAACTCCCCCTGTGCCCCCCGGGAAGGTGCCAAGCCCCCGCCCCACCACGACCCCCCATTTTGCCCCCACCGCGACGAGCCGTGGGGTCCGGCTGCTGCCCGTCCCGGGGGAAGGGGTTGCGGGGGATCCCCGAGGCGGGGGGATTTCGTGTCCCCCCCTTGTCCGCCCCCCCGGCAGGAGATGGACGGACAGGCCGGGCCGGGTTCGATTCTCTGGACAAGCGACATTTATCAGGGATTCAGGAGATGTCGGAGCACAAACCCAGCCCGGCAGTGGGGGGGGGGGGGCCGCCGGACCCCCATCTCCGTCCTCACTGCCCCCTCCCCGCCGGGCCGGGGGGGCCGGGGGGGCTCATTGCGATGCGCCTCATGCCCACCTGAGCCGGGCGCTGACAAATAGACATTTAAATGAGACAATTAGCGGTGCCGCGCGCTGACATTTCTAATGGATTAATGCGCCTCGCGCCTAATCCAGGCAAAATTCCCCCAATTCCGGGCCCGCGGCGCTGGCGGTGATGGACGAGCCCGCGGGGACCCCCGGGCCGGGGGGGGGCACCGGGGAGGGGGCGGGAGGGGACGGGAACGGGGATGGGTGTTTACACGTGCGTGTGTGTGTGTGTGTGACACGTGTGTGTGAGAGCATGTGTGTGACAGCACACTGGGGTGTGTGACAC